CAAAGGAGGCAGTTTAATAGTGTAGCAGGGGAAAAAACTAAACATCCTACCAGTGTGTCCCTCTTTATTAAAAACAGAGTTAACAAAGAATTGCTCCATAATCAGCAGAAACACATCATTAATTTTATTATTTATGTGCTACTGAAAATTATTTTAGCCTTAAGCAAATTTGAAGACATCATGTTTCTTACATCTGATGCATCATCACATCATTATATACAAACACTTTTCAAACTATTTACAAAACTGACCTACCACAACACATGATACTTGGACTAATGTTTAATGACTTTTTAATGAGAAAAAAATGCATGATCTTACATATCAGCAGCCTATTAAAATGTCTCATACTTATAGACTACATATGCATTTAATAGTGGTTAAATAAAAAAATAAAACTTGGCCACAATGATCAAACTGCCAGTAGTTAAAGAGGAACAACAGAAATGTGATAAAACATATTGGCAAGTTTCCAAACAGAAACCTTGTTTTTAGGTGCCACAGAGCAAAGTAGTAATGACCTTGGGTTATGGAATCAGGGGGAAGTAGACCGAAATCCTGGCTTCATTCTTACCTGTGTGACCTGACCAAGTAACACCATATCTCTAAATCTGTTTCCTTATAACTGTGCCTGCCTTCTGTGATGGTTGTGAATATTAAGTGAGACAATGCACTTAACAAAGAGCCTGACACACAGTAAATATTTAATAATTTAACAATTATTATGAAATTTTGGAACAAATGTTACACAGAGAAGCAGTATTTTGATTTTTTTTTTTTTTTAAGTTTAAGACCCAAAGACTAGGATTTTATTGGTGGAAGTTCAGACCTGGAAATAAAACATAATGAAACACAGAGTCCCTTCAAAGAGGCATTTTACTAAAAATAAGTGGACTAAGTAAAACCGGTTTTATATAAGTGCAGTTACCACAGGTGGAATTTTAATTTCTAAGACTTAAAGGGGCATTAGCTCAAAGTATCTATTATTACTAAGTTGCTTGTCCCCATCAATTCTTTC